CCTCTTACAAAAAACAACCACTGTTGTCAGTTTCTTGTATGTTCATCCAACACCTGAGGACCTTATGTAAAAATAAACAAATTGTATTTTGTTTTTATTTATTTACTTGATGGTCTTGCTCTGTCACCCGGGCTGGAGTGCAATGGTGCAATTATAGCTCACTGCAGCCTTGAATTCCTAGGCCTCAAGCGATCCTCCTGCCTCAGCCTCTCAAGTAGCTGGGACCAAAGGTGTGAGCCACCATGCCCAGCTAATTTTTTAATTTTTTGTAGAGACTGGGTCTCACTAGGTTGCCCAGACTGGTCTCAAACTCCTGGCCTCAAGTGATCCACCTCAGCCTCCCAAAGGACTAGGATTATGGGCATAGACACCACACCCAGCTAAATTGTATTTTAAAATTAATTTTAATTGTTTTTGAAGAGGAAGTGTATTTATATGGTTTGAGAGAAGGAAAATGAAAGTATAAAAAGTACTCAGTGAAATATCTCCCTTCTATCTCTACCTAGTACCACCGTCTCCCACAGGTAAATAATACGATAAGTTTCATGCATATTTTTCCAACCAAATACATATTGTTCTTCTCCTCAACCTTTTTTACACAAATAGAAGCATCCTATTCATGTTGTTCTGCAACCTGTGCTTCTCCTTTAACACTACACACTGCAGATACTTCTATATCGGCACATAGACAGTTTCCTCATTTATTTTTCAAGTTGCATAGCATTTCATCATATGGATGTTTCATAGCTCATTTAATCAATGTCCTAATGATAGATAACTAAGTTGCCTTTTGATCAAAGCAAGCATTTGTTAAATGGAAAGTAATAGATGTACATAGTGAATATTTCTATGTGTAAAGTGAATTGTCTTAGTTATTGGTGCAGTAATGCTTTGTTAACAACCCCCTTCTCCCAACACAAGGTATAAGTGGCACATAACAATAAATATTTATGTTTCTTGCTGTCTGTAAGTCCATTGGGGTTCAACTGAGCTCATTTGGGCTTGGCCTAAAGCTATGGGTTGCTTTCAGATGTACACCACATATCTCATCATTCTCCTTGGACCCGGAGCTATGCAGGACTATTGGTGGATGGCAAAAGCACAAGAGGCCAAGCTGCTAACATCAAGTCTGCTAATATTTCTTGGGTCAACTCTAGTGGAGTGGGAGGTACTCAAAGTCTCAAGTTAAAGAGTGTACATGTACAATTTTTTAATAGTGATGGTGTGAAGAACTAAAATGATAATCTAATGTCCCACATAATACATAATGAAACACAAATTGGCCTCTCACCCCCACATTGCCAATCACCTCCCCTTCCAACAACCATTATTGCCAGTTTCTTGAGTATTCATCCAGAAACACTTTGTATATATGAGTATGTATATATCTACAATTTCAATAGATGTTGTCACTTTGCTTTCCAGTGTAGTTGCACTAGTTGACATTCTAGATAACTGAATGAGAGTGTCTATTTCTTCACATGCTTTCCTACATTGTATACTATCAAACATTTATTATTTGCCATTATGGTCTAGGTTGCAGTTACTTCTCAATTTATGTTTGCCCACTTGCATTGTTTAAATGTGTAGTATCTATTCATGTCATTTGCCTATTTTTCTTTTGGGCTGATTTTTCCCCCCCAATTGATTTGTAAGAGCCCTTTATATATTTATAAAATTTTCCCTTTGTTTAAGGAATTTCAGTTTTTCTCCCAATTTATAGTTTGCCTTTTGTGTATGGTGTTTTTTCTTTGCAGAAATTTGTACATAGTAAGAAGTATCAATCTTTTTCTTTTTGGTTTATGGATTTTGAGTTTTGCTTATAAAATTGTTCCCTACTTGTGGAACTTTTTTTTTTCAAAGCTATTTATCCCAATTGATAACATTTTAAAAAGTTTGGCCTTACTAAATGGTTATCAGCTCTTCTCACCATTAATCATGAGAATATACCAAGTGCCCAAGATTTGGCAAATTATGTAAAGTTCTGTTCTTAATATTATTAGGAAGATGATATACTAACTCTACTCTAGCGGGCCATGGGAATTGATGTATTTCTTCAGCAGCAGTAATTCTTTCATGTAACCTAGGGTATTTTTGCCAAAAAGGCCATCTGTAGGTAGGGGCACTAACCATAATTTGATCAGCCTTCATCATGAAATAGATTTGGTCTAATTGCCCTAAACAGATATGACCCTGGCCTTGTTCTTAGGTGCTTATCATATGACAAGATTTCATGATTAGCAACTGGGATAATTACACTCACTGCTTTTTTCCTTTCCTGGGCCAGGCAGGATTGAAAGATTTTCTTGAAAAGCCTTCTCAAATGTTAATGTGCATACAAAGTTACCTGGGGATCTTGTTAAAGTGCAGATTCTGCAACAGTAGGTCTGGGGGTGGGGCCTGAGACTGCATTTCTAACAAGGTCACAAGTGCTCCTGGTCCATGGAAAACACTTCAAGAAACAAGGTGCTAGACCATGAGGTCTCACCCAGTCTTTTCTAAAAGTTCATTGGTTCCTTCCTCATTTTCTTGGCATCTTATTCCTTTTTGGATTCTTTATTCTTACTTTCCTGAACTCCTTTAAGATCACTTTTAAAACCGTAAAACAGACTGGTATGATTGGCCAAACAAGCAGCCCTCTTTGATGAATACCAAGAGCCCCTCTCCCATTCAGAAAAAAATCTATTGATCTACCATGGCGCCTTGTTTTCAATTCTGGGGAGTCTTCTTAAAATTTCTGGTGAAGGGTGATGTAACCCAGGAAAGTAAGGTTAGTCATACTAGTTAGGCATTAATCAGACTGGAGCACCAACCATCCTCAGCAGAGAGAGTACTGAGAAAAGGATAGGTACACAAGGGAGTAAGTTTTGGTAGGGTGGAAGGTACTGAACTTGATACATAAAGGCACTAGGTATTAGAGTGAAGTTGGGTCAAATTGGTTGTATGTGCCACTGCACTCTAGTCTGGGTGACAGAGCGAGACCCTAGATACAGAAAGATGATGAAAGGAGAAACCAACAGGACAGGAAGAGGTTTGCTTTTTATTTTAAATGTATTGTCTACTTGATGATTTGCCTAGGGATCTTATTGGCTAGGATCCTAAATGAGCTCCCCTCACCCTGACTGCTGGCTCCTTAACACCCCAATATAAGTGAAGGGTCCCGTGGCTTGATCAAATGGCTTCATCCATGGATAGCCCTGCTGGTCAGCTAAAGCCCAGGGCCAGGGGGCTAGTGCCATGCTAAAGGGCAGACTGGAGGTGCCAGGGTTCCAACCAGAAAGGAAAGACTTGACCAGGTTGTATCCTTCCACCAAGGGGCCACCCTGTGTTGCTTGCGGCCATACCTGCACCTAACTGGTTGGAAGCACCTGGCAGTTGGCATTGAGGACCACTAACAATAAGGTAGGTGCGGAGGGGGTTGGCCGGAAGTGGTAGTGAAGGTTGCACAGGGCCAGCCGGCAAGCATAGGGAAGTTTGTATTTGCATGAGCTCCGTAGGCAAGGAGAAAGGGAAAATTCGCTGGCTATATCCCTTCAAAAGAATGGGCTTTCATCTGAAAACGAACTGTTAAAGAAAAGAAAAGAAAAGAAAAGAAAACAGAAGCAGGACATCTTCTGTTTCAAAAATACAGGCCATTTTCCCCCTCCCATGTATATAAACAACGAAAACCGGGAAGGTAGCTTGGTATTGGTTCCCGCCCGAAGGTCCTTTCCTTTCACACCCGACCTCTCTAGATCCCCAACTTAACCCCGATTGAAGAAGAAATTTTCCAGGATGGGGGTGGGGTTTTGCTGGATTTGTCGAAAGAGATGGTCCACAGGGGAGGAGTGCATAAACTTGGCAAGAGAGGCCAGAGAGGGAGAATAACTTAATCATGCACAGGCTCTGGCCTTAACAGTTGAGTGGATGGTGGACCGAGGCCAAGCGGCCAAAGAAGTGGAGTAGAAAGGCGCGAGTCTGCGCTGCGTGCCACGTACCAAACGCTGAATTCTCCCACCTGGGCCCTGTATCCGTCTCTCGCTCGCTCTCTGTGGCTAATACAGAGCGATGGAGCAGCCTCGGTAGAACAGCTAGAGAAAGCTCAGAGAAAGACAAATTAATAGGAGCTCAGCGCAGCAGCAAATGCTGGAGAACAGCGCTCAGCTGACCCGTTAAATGAGCAGTCCTGTAAAGTGTGTTAATCAGTGCGGCGCCCGAGAGCCCAGGGAAACACTCCGAGAAGATACCTGGCGTGGCAATGGAACTCTTCAATGCTGCGATCTAGGAACACTGCTAGTCCTGGGTCGTAGTCCCTCCCCCGCGTCTCGCTTAAAGAGAGGGGTTCCTGGGTTGCATGACGTTGGAGAGCAGGTGGTCAGATGCATGGTTGGTGAGCCCCTGGAGCATGCAGAATGACAGAGGCCAGGGTTCTAGCTGCAAGCCCATCCCTGCGTCCCAGTACATTAACTGCCTGCCCCATGATTGGCGGAGCTGGAGAACCCTCAGACTTAAGGATTTTATAGGTGGCAGGGGTGGAAAAGAAGAGTTCTCTCCGGTCCTGGAAAGCTCGAATTATAAGAAAAACTAGGTGGTTTGCGACTTTAAAAGCAAGTTCCAGTCTCCGGGGAACCAAGCAGGTGAACTCTTGACTGAACTAGATACCTGTTCTGCGGCTAGAACTGCAGACCGGGAGAGCTAAAAACTTTTAGTGGCTTTCCACACCTGCACTCATTTGAGCGCTCACCCCAATCCTGTTCGCCGGCCTACTCTAGTAAGGACGCTAGACGGCGCTGCCGGGACACGCTTTCCTTCTCCCGAGAAAGGTAAGAGAGAGCGCTTTTTTTTTTTTAACCAGGGGATGGGGGACTTGGGGTTGGCAGCCTTTCTCAATCTGCCTCCCCTCCCCGCGCTCCCAAATCTAAAGGGGTGTGGAAGAGGAGGAGGAGCAGAAGCAGCTCTTTTCGTGACGCGCCAGAGCGCTTCTCTCTAATTCCCACCTCCTCCCCTGTGCAATCAGTCAGCCAGGAGGCACCAAACTGTTAGCGACAAAAACGCAGCTCTCGGTGACTCCCACTACCCTCCCACCCGCACTCCAGGCATATTTTGGAGGCGGCAGGAGCGGTGGCAGGATGTGAGGCGAGCCTGGAGCTCATTTCCAGGCGCCCCTCCCTCTTCGGAACTAAGGGAGACTTATAGGCTTTTGCTCACTGACTGTAGGGTTCCCGGGAAAGACTGGGGAAGTGAACAGGAGGGAGGGAGGTGGACAGGCAGAGTCTGCACCTGCCTCCTGCGCCTCCCTTAGGGCGACAGGGCAGCTGGTGTTTCGCTCCTTCTGGAGTGTGCCTACCTTGCAAGTGGCGCGAGGGCCACAGGCTGAGGCGCCCGCGTCCAGGCGTGCACCGCTTGGCCGAGGCAAGGTGTTGCTGGAGCAAGGCTGCTCCGAAGCGAAGTCGCGCAAAAGGAAGAGTCTGGGAGGCAGGCGACTTAGGAGAGTCTAGTCACTAAGAGACAGAGAGAGGCGGCATCTGCCATTCTAACTGCGGAGCTGAGTGATTTAGAAACCCTCCTTAACTCTCCCTTTCCAGCTTTCCCCAAAGTCCACAGAAGCTCTGCTGAACTCTAGAAATCTTCCCTGGCCGGGGGGAAGTTTCCTGGCATCATCGTTGGCTAAGACAGGTAGTGGAGAAAACAGTCGGGGCTGTACTGGACGCTGTTTGGGGAGACGCGATCTTCCTCTCGCCCCCTCCAGCCACTCCGACTGCCCGGGAAGTCCCAGCCCACGCTCTCCGGAACCTGGCTCTCCATCTCGCCCTGGACATGGAACTACGCATCTGAGACCTGCTGGACGTTTTGCTGCCTGTTTTGCAAGACTCAGGTAATGCCCGCTCGAAGAGCTGGAGAGTTGACTGGCAAGGGCCAGGGGAGAACGCGCTGCGCTCTCAGGTGGCAGCAGGGCAGGCCGCAGCCAATGGAGGCTTTATCTCTCCTGCAGCTCTGGTCTCCGCGCCTGGAAATTTGCCAGTTGGCTTTCTCTTCCTTTAGCCTTCCCAGAAAGTTTAGGGAATAGAGCTCCAAAGGCCAGGGGCTCTTCGGCCTGGGAGGAGCGTGCGCCGTCCCTCAGGTGCCCGCGAGCCAGTGCGTTGCGTTTCCGCGGCGGGATCTTCATGGTCTCTGCGGCTGGCGCGCGGGCTCTGCAGCCTGAAAGGCAATTTCCAACTAGGCGCTTCTGACTGCCCACATTTCTGCCCGCAGCTGGTAGAGCAACCGGAGCTGGGAAGAGGCTCAAGGCGGCTCCTGGGTGGAATAGTGAGGGGTTGCCCAGCAATACGCTGCTGCTCCTGGGGATTCCCACCAAGCACTAGACAGGGGAGATTGCTGGGTATCTGGGGCCATCTCTGTGCTCTGGCACTGAGAGCCTGAAGGTACTTCCCCTGCGGTTCCCGAGACGCCCCCTTTCCTCTTCCCGCAAGAATTCCCAATACCCCTAGAGTGGGTTTCCCGGGTCCCCACTGCTGCTCAGGCGTGAGCATCTGCCCGCGCCAAGTTGCGCTTCAGACTCCTTGTGAAGGAACCCTAGAGTGGGAGAGTAGGCATAGCCACTCGTGAGTGGCTCGCCTTGCCTCTCTGGGCTCGGGATTGGAGCAAACAGCTTGATCTGTCACTATCAGACGTTTAAGAAAAATGCTTTGGTAAGGAGACCCTGGCAAGGGAAATGTGTATTATAACAAATGTCTGCTTCAGGGGTTTCTTCTGGTCCCTGCAGCCATCCCCTTGCCATCTGTGCCACCCAAGGACTTAGAGACATTAGTAAACAAGTGTTCAAGATTTTCCCCTTGCCACCCACAAAAGTTGTGACTGCACAGAAGTGCTGGAAAAGTACTTCTCAGTTGAAAGTTACTCTAGAGCCTATCACGGGTGTTTTTTAAGGGGGAGTCTATTTAGGAGTATCTTGTCCCCGAATGAGGAAGTGGGACCTGCCCACCACCACTACATTCAATCGAATGTGTAGATTTCCAAGAAGGAATCCTTCTTTCTTTTCCTGGCCAGGGGAACCAAGCTGTAGATTATTAAACATGAGGCACAGCTGGGAACAGACCGAAGGAAGTAAAGAGGGAGGGAAGGACACGTTTCTGAGCCTGCAAGTTCAGCGGGCGTCCTACAGTTCAGGAAGACTACCTGAGTTACAGAGTCCCTGGGAAGGAAGGAGTTAAGTTTTCCGGGCAAGTGTCTGGGACTGGGGTCCATTTTCCCACTGACATCCTCATCTCCCACCCCACCCCAAGGTTTTGGCTCCATCTCTGAGCGAACTCTCTAATTTGCGGGCCGCCCTGGGCTAGACAGCTCACAATTACCTGCCGTGGAAGCAGATGATTTGGGGGCACTAGTATCCATGCACTGTTGTACCACTGGGCTCTTTGCCAGCAGGGTCTCAGATACTTAGGCTTTCCCCCCTTCTTGCCGCACAGAACGCGTTCTTCTCCATGCTCCCGGCTTCCCCATAGGTAGCAATTGGGCAACTACCCTGGGACCTAGGGAGGGTGAAATTCCTAAGTATTCCTGAGCCTAGGCTTCAGCAGAAGTGCCCGTCTTCGCCACTTGCATCCTTTCCACTCCTCTCCTCCGCGGAGCAACCCCTGCTCTATGGCCAGTACAGTCGCACGGCGCGGCTGCTGGACCCGAGACGGCGACTCCAGTTTTGAGCCACCTGCTTACAGTTAGCTCTCCAATTTGAGGGCTGCCCTGGGGTAGACAGCCTGCAATTACTGCGGTGGAAGCTGCTGATTTAAATAGCGTTTAAATGTGGATAAAGGGCTGTGGCATCAAAGGCTCCTGACTTGCCCACTCTAACCCCAGCTGATCTGAAGGAGAGACAAGTTGCCACCAAAGCTGCCTTCGTGACAGACAGCTGCGGCTCCTTCTGCTTCTGTCCTATAGGTCAAGGCCAGACCTTTAGAGCAGTAGGGTTGAGGATTTCAATCGGGCTTTGTGAAATAGCCTCTGCTGCTCTCTCTGATATCTGGCCAATCTTAACTCAGGTTGAGCAATCGGCCATTTTTAGTTTCTGCGGGGCTTCTACCACTTTGACCTCTCTGTGCAGAGGCTAAAGGCGCTGGTCAGGGGTGGTGGATATCAGGGTGCTCCTGGACTGTGGCATTTACAGGTAAAATCAAGTCTGAATCTTGATTTACCCATTCATTTCCTGAGAAATAGTTCCTCAATGGTGTAGAACATTCTTGTTTGCCAATAACTGGCAATAGAGTCCATACACGCATATGCTGCTTACTAGGGTGAACTGATGGTGAGATAACCTGGGGAACAGCCCCTTATAACCATCTGCAACATGTATCCACAGCTGCAAAGCCCATTGAAATTTTATTTAGCTTTAAAAAGACATGCTGTAAAGAATCTCACCATATAAAAAAGATGAATTATGAAGTGACTATTCCAGCATTGTTTAAAACAATAAACTTCACTTTACACTGGCTTCCATAGTTTATTGAAGTGTCTCAGTGCAAACATTTGCTGTTTGGGAAGAAGGGGAAAGATTGGAAAGGTGAAGTGAGTTAAAATATGGTTGAAATGATCGTATACTTTGGTAAAACAATTTTGTGTTCACATCTGTGCCTTAAATAAAATCATCACTGTGTGCAATGTGACAGCCTGAGTAGATTCTGTGACAAGTTGTAGCACTATGGTGAAACCAAAGGGGAACATATATTTATCCTTTGTATTTGGAAATTTCCTGTAACTGCAGCAGTAATGATTACAGCTGGGACTGTTGGAAGACAAAGGTACACACTGCATTCTTCATTTGAGAAGTAACATAACCTCCTTTGTGAAAATGCACTGTAATCAAGTGGAAGAGATAAAAAGTCCCAAGTTTGAGGTCTTCACTAATAATATATAAAAGAAAAATCATTGCCAAACCTCGAGGTGTGGACTAACAGGAATTTTTCAGGGATGTTTTCTAGCTGTAGTCAGAAACTCACACCTTTTAATCTCTGAGAACTGTCCCTTGATCCTAGGTCAGAAAGCTGTGATTGGAGCCAACTTGGTAGAGGAAGATAAATGTGGAATATGCAATATGTGCTTTAATTATCCTGAGCTAGGACTTGAAAATAAGCCTCTCATTATCTTTAGACTTGGAGCTGCAAGTGCCAAGGAATTTGCCAAAATAAAATGTGTCTGTCCAGGCCTGGCGGTGGCTCACATCTGTAACAATCCCAGCACTTTGGGAGACTGAGGCAGGAAGATCACTTGAGCCCAGGAGTTTGAGATCAGCCTTGGCAACATAGTGACACCCCACCTCTATTTTAAAAATGTGTCTAATGTAAGGCCTGATGCAAAGATGTAACACATGGATCCATCTGGCCAAAGCTACCGCTATTTGGGTTGGTTCGCTTTGAACTAGCTCCTAATGAGATCAGAGGCACTAGAGTGAGTCCACTGTGGGGCAGTTTCTTTTGGGCTTCCCCAGTCACAGACATGGTTCCAAATCTTTTGTCAAATGATCTAAATACATATTCTCTGTGCCAAGGAGCCTAGATTTAGTAGCCTTCTTGCTTTATTTTTCCCATTAATTTCACAGATATACCTTGGCTTCTCTCTTGAGTTTCAAAATGTTTTTTTAGCTGGTTTGCTTTATTATTCCTCTATTTGAATGTTGAGTTGGCATAAAAATGTATTAAAACACTGGCTTAACATTTTCCCCCAAGCAAACCTTTGTTTTTTGTCTCTTGCTTTTAATGAGGTCCTCATTCTCTAACCCTAGCAGTTCTGATCTCATTCATCTGTGACTGCTCCTGCGTGCCTCATCCATCACTACCTCATGCATCCTGTCTTTTATTAAATGCCCTGAATTCTGTCTCTAGAATAGGTTTTGTCCTTTGCATTTGTACTGCCACCACTTGCAGTTAGGTCTTCTAGATTCTTGATCTGGCCTGCTACAAAAGTCTTTTCTTGCTATCTTTGATCTGCTCTCTAATTCAGTATATCCTACATGTTAGGATTAATCTTCCTGTAGCTCATGCAGTTCTTTATTCAAAAGTGTTACTTAGTGAGTGTTTGTTAAGTCATACAGATTGTTATTGAATCTAAAATAGTTTCTAACAATTTGAGTTGCCTGATGCATTAAATAAGTTGAATTGTAACCTTAGGAAGTGATATGGTTTGGCTGTGTCCCCACCCAAATCTTACCTTGAATTGTAATAGTCCCCACATATCAAGGACAGGGCCAGGTGGAGATAATTGAATCATGGGGCTGATTTCCCCCCTACTGTTCTTGTGGTAGTGAATAAATCTCACAAGATGTGATGGTTTTATAAATTGGAATTCTCCTGCACAAGCTCTCTTGCCTGCTGCCATGTAAGACATGCTTTTGCTTCTCCTTTGCCTTCTACCATGATTGTGAGGCCTCCCCACCCATGTGGAACTGTGAGTCCATTAAAACTCTCCCTTTTATAAATTACCCAGTCTTGGGTATGTCTTTATAAGCAGTGCGAGAACAAACTAATATAGGAAGTTCTCTAACATTGCAGGTGAGTACATAGCATGGCCAACCATTTGGTGGGAACTCAAACAACAGATTTGGGATATATGTTTCCTAACCCAGAAAGTCTATATCATCCTTTCAACATCCAGGGACCCAAATAGTGTGTTGTTTCCTATCAGTTTGCCTGCTGAAATTACACCTTTTAAAAATTATTAGAATGGTGTTTTATAGTCTTCTGTTTGTTAACAGTCTATTGCTATGCCCAAATAGGTCATTTTGCTCTGGCTTACTTGGGTGTGTGTCACTCTAGGAATCATCTAGATCGTTGTATTATGTTACGAATTTTTAACATTTATGTTGTGCTTGCTTTATACTTTGGGGAA